TAAAGAAATACATTCAGGCATACACATGTAATTTTTAAAAATCCATGTACTGTCCACACAACACAAGGAGTGAACCCTCCTCCCGGAGTTGGGGCCTTCTTTGTACAGCTCCCCAGTCTCATGCACCAGCCGCCCCTCAACAATTAACTGCCCCCCTGAATTTGGTGCTTATCACTCCCATGTATTTCCTTGTGTTTTTAATTCATTGTTTTAATTTGAGATAATCTGAGCTTTACAGAAAAACTGCAAAAATAGAGTTCAGAACATCCTTCCACGCAGCCTCCCTGCCCGCTACTGCGCGCTCGCCTAGGCAGAGCGCAGCCAGCACGGCTGCCTTGTGCACATGGTCCCCTCAGCTGAGCCACAGGCTGCGTTTGGACCCTGCTCTCCCCCATGACGTCCCTTGTCTGTTTTGGGGTCCAGCACGCTGTCCCGTGTCCCAGGGTCATCCTGTCCCCTTCCATCTGGGCAGTCCTCAGCCTTCCCTTGTTTGTGGCCTTGATTCTGGTGAGGAGTAGAGATGGCTCTTTTGAAGACACCCTCAGTTTGGGTTTGTCTGCTGTTTTCTCCTCAAGTTGTGTGTTCTCGGGTGGCAGCCCCCCCTCGGTGTGCCCCCTCTTCAGGCCAGGGCAGATGGTGTCTGTGTGAACCGTTGCTGGTGAGGGTGACCTTGAACACTTGATTCTGGTCGTGTCTGCAGGCTTTATCCACCATAAGATTACTAGTTTCCATTTTTGTAATTAATATCCGAGGGGAGATACTTTGAAATTATGCAAATACCATGTTTTTTGCTTACCCTTTTGCCCACTGATTTTGGCACTGGAGTTCTAGTGGTAATTTCCTGTTTTCTCATTCCTTCTACCTGTGTTAGCTGGAGTTTGCTGTAGGGGAGAGCTGTCCTTTCTGTCCTGTCTCTCACTTGTTTACTCAGCTGCGTGTCCGTGTCCGTGCCGGCGTGGACTCGTCGGTGCTCGAGTTATTTGGGGCTGTAATCCAGCTCTTGCTGCTTGTTTGCCCAGGTGGTTCTAACTGTGGCCACTGGGGACTCTTAGGTTAGCTCTGAGGCCCTTGCAGCGTACTTTTTGTTACTGTTTTTTATTTTTATTCTTTTACTACTTCATTATTTCCCAGTATCACAAGATGCTCCAGCTCATCTTCTGTGTTTCTTGCCCCAGCCCTGGAGTCAGTCTCTTCTCCAGGGAGCCCTAGTTCCTTCTACTACTAGAGAATAGTGTTTAGAAACCCAGATCTGCGTGTTAAGGGTACTCATTCCTACAGGGGTGTCACTGCTGCTCGTCCCGTCCAGTGGGAAGGCATATAACGTACTAACCCTGCACATGCACTTCACTTCTGTGTTCATTCCTGGGTCTGTCCACGTGCGTTTAGGACGAAAACCACAAGCGCCTCCAGCTCCCATCCAGCAGCACAGGCTCGGCAGTAGCTCTCTCTCCTTGTTTGTAACTGTAAGAAGCCTTGTTCTCATTATCTACAATAATTTACTTATTTGTTTAGGGTAATTTCAGAATTGCTGAGCCGTGCCTCTGTGAAAAGCAAATTTGCTTTTCAGTGCAGGTTTGTTTTGTGGCCCAGCATATGGCCTATTTGGTGAATGTTCCATGTGAACTTGAGAAAACGTGTTCTGATATTGTTTGATAAATGCCAGTTAGGTCTGGTTGGTTGGTAGCATTGTTCAGACCTTCTGTATCTGTATTGATTTTCTGTCCACTTGTTCTCTTATCGAGCAACACGTGTGGAATCTCCAGCTGTAATTGTGGATTTGGCTATTTTGCCTTTCAGTTCTATCCGTTTTTGCCTCATGACTTGAAGCTCTGTTGTAAGTGAAATAACACATTTAGGTTTGTACGTTTTAGGGGAATTGACCCCTTTACCATTATATGAAATCCCTCTTTATCTTTTATAATATTTCTTACTCTGAAGTTTTCTTTGATATTAATATAGCTACTCCAACTTTCTTTTGCTTAGTGTTTGCTTAGTTTTATATCTTTTTTCCTTCTTTTATTTTAACTTATGTCTTTATGTTTAAAGTTTTTTGTACCCAATGTATAGTTGGTGACTTTCTCTGTTACTATAACAATCTCTTACCTCTGACTGTTGTATTTTTGCCATTCACATTTATTGTGATTATTGATATTTGTGGATTTAAATGTATTCTCTTGTAAGCTGTTTTCTTTTTTGCATTTTTCAGTTTTATTAGGTAACACTGATACAGTTTGACTGCATATATATAATGTATTTCATGTAAATACAGATATACAATATACTGTACATACTTTTAAAAATTTACATATATGTACTATTTATTGTTTCTAAGAACAGCTTAGAACTTTAGCTTTTTATGTATTTATTTTACAATGTCATATTTTTTTAATTGAAGTACAGTTGATATACAATATTGTATGTTACAGGTATACAATACAGTGATTCACAATTTTTAAAGGTTATACTCTGTTTATAGTTATCATAAAGTATTGGCTATCTTCCCTATGTGGTACAACACATCCTTGTAACTTATTTTATACCTGATAGTTTGTACCTCTTAATCCTCCAGAAACTAATACAACATTTTAAATCAACTGTACTTCAATTAAAAAGCAAACAAACAACCCATTTAACATATGAGCAGAAGAACTGAATAGACATTTTTCCAAAAGAGGGAATGCAGATGGCCGACTGGAACATGAAAAGTTGCTCAACATCACTAATACCAGGGAAATGCAAATCAGAATCATAATGAGACACCGTCTCACACCTGTCAGAATGGCCAGCATCAAAAAGAACACAAATAACAAATGTTGGCAAGGATGTGGAGAAAAGGGAACCCTTGTACACTGTTGGTGGGAATGCAAATTGGTGCATCCACCATGGAAAACAACATGGAGGTTTCTCAAAAGCCTAAAAATAGAAGCACCATGTGACCCAGCAGTTCCACTCCTGGGCATATATCAGAGAAAAACAAAAGCATTAATTCAAAAAGATACATCCACTGTGCTATTAATAGCAGCACTATTTTCAATGGCCAAGCGGTGGGAGCATCCTGAGTGCACATCAATAGATGAATGGGTAAAAAAGATGCAGCATACATGTGCAATGGAATACAACTCACCCATAAAAAAGAAGGATATTTTGCCATTTGCGGCCCTTCATTCACTTTTTTTTCTTCACTTCAAATACCAGAGTTTTATAACTGGCATAAACATTTCCATTGCATCAAAAACAACAAAATACCTAGAAATAAACTTAACCAAGGAGATTACCTATGCTCTGAAAACTAAACCATTGATGAAGGAAATTGATCTTGTGTTCTTGGATTGGAAGAATCAACATTATTAAAACGGCCATACTACCCAAAGCAATCTACAGATCCAGTGCAGCCTCTGTCAAAGTGCTCATGACTTTTTTCACAGAACTGGAACAAACAATTCCAAAATTTACATGGAACCATAAAAGACCCTGAACTGCCAAAGCAATCTTTTTTTTTTTGGCACGGGGCAGTGGGGATTAGATTGACTGATTGATTTGAATAGAGGTGCTGGGGATTGAACCCAGGTCCTTGTGCACGCTAGGCACGTGCTCTACCACTGAGCTACACTCTCCCCCACCAACAAAGCAATCTTGTAGGTTTTGTTTTTTTTCTTTAAATCTTTTTTCTTATGGTTTGGTGACTAGAGAAGTTTCTTTAACATTTGCTGTAAAGCTGGTTTGGTGGTGCTAAAATCTTTTATGTTTTGTTAATCTGTGAAGCTTTTGATTTCTCCATCAAATCTGAGTGAGAGCCTTGCTGGATAGAGTGTTCTTGGTTGTAAGTTTCCCCCTTGCATCACTTTAAATATGTTGTGCCACTCCCTTCTGGCCTGCAGAGTTTATGCGGAAAAGTCAGCTGAAACCTTATGGGAGTTCCCTTGTATGTTATTTGTTGCTCTTCTCTTGCTGATTTTAATATTTTGTCCTTACCCTTAATTGTTGTCAGTTTGATGACTATGTGCCTCGGTGTGTTCCTCTTTGGGTTGATCCTGTGTGGTACTCTCTGTGCTTCCTGGACTTGGGTGATTGTTTCCTTTCCCAAGTTGGGGAAGTTTTTGGTGATTATCTCTCCAAATATTTTCTCAGGTTTCCTCTCTTTCTTTTCCCTTTCTGGGACCCCTGTAATGCGAATACTAGGTTCTTCATGTTGACCCATGTGAGCTGTTTTCTATTTATTGCTGTTTTTTCTTTTATTCTTTTTCTGCCTCATCTGGGTTAACCAGTTTTAAAGATCCCATTTAATCTCATCTATTAACTTCTTATTTTTACTTATTTAAAAAGTTTTTTCATGGTTGAGCTGGGATTTACAAGATACATCTATAACTAGAGTTTACCGTAAGATAATAATATGCCACGCCACGTGGGTAAGGACCTCACTGCAGGGCTCTCCCCAGCTCCTCCTTGCCCTGTTGCTGCTGTGACCCGAGCACGTCCTGCCTCCTGTGGACGCAGCGCACTGCTGCTGCTTCTGCTTTTGCTTTGTGCCGGAGGTTGTCTTACAGCGGAAGTCAAGCCAGCAGCCAAACTCACCCTGCCACCTCTTTTTTATGGCCTGTGAGTGAAGAATGGCTTTAAAATTTTTCTAATGGTTGAAAAAATCAAAAGATGAAGAAGACTTTATGACACGTGAAAATTACATGGAATTAAAATCCCAGTGTCCACAAACAGAGCTTCCCTGATGCACGGCCAGTCCTGACTCCACACCTGACGATGGCAGCACTCATCCCATAAACAGAGTTAATTAAGTGCTCGCAGCGGAGACCACAGGGCATGCAACGCCCGAAATATTTGTCCTTTAGAGGAAAAAAAAGTTGCCACCTCTGTCTTGGAGCAATTAAAAATAAAAAGGTTAATTTCATTTTACCTATGTTGATTCCATTTCAAGGAATCCGTTACTTCAGAGACCCCAGTTCCTCTCTGATACGTTCTTCTGCCTCAGGAACTTCTCTGACAGAGTAGGGCACCTGCATGCTGAGCGAACGGCACTGTGGGAGAGGAGCCTTGAGCTCAGGGCACCGGGAGCATGTGCAGTGGGCAGTAGCATCCCTGCCTTCTGCCTTGAGGGAGAGAGTCACCTTCATTGTCCTAGACAGTAAACGTGACGCTCCTTGGTTCCAAAGGGGGACACTACTCTGCCGGCTAAGGTCGTAAGCCAGCGTTTATCAGCCTTGCCGCTGCAGACATCTGGGGCTGGGTAGTCAGTTGTGGGGAACTGTCCTGTGCATTGTGGGCTGCAGCACCCCTGGCCTCTGCCCCTGGATGCCAGAGACACCGCCTCTCTCAGTTGTAACCCCTACATGTGTCTCCAGACACCGTCAAGTATCTGCTAGCGGGCAGAGCCACTGCTGGTTGAGAATCGCTCTGATAAGCAAACTCAGCCTTTGTTCTAGAGGAAGTCACCGTCTGTCTTTCAGAGTTGTTCTCTGTAGAAGCAACCTCCAAGAGAGTCCAGAGCAAAGGGTAGTCAGCGCCTCGCTTCGCAGGATGTGCAGGAATGCATGTGATCTGTGGAGAACTTTTCCCAGCGTTGGCTTTAACACAATTGTACTGTGGTCAAAGAAATTGATTCTTTCACTTGGTGAGAGTTCTCGTGGCCTGTCTATGGTTAGTTTTGTGTGTTTCCTCTAACTGTTAGGTGCAGAATTTGTTGTGTGTTGATTAGGTCAAGGCTGTAACACTTTTGTGCAGATCTCATGTCTGCATAACTTGTCTGAGCTCTTAGTTACGGGGGGGGGTATGCAGAGTCTCTCACTGTGTTGCAGATTTGCCCATTTTCCCTTGTAATTCTAGTTTTTGTTTTCTGTATTTTGAGCCTGTGTTTAGGTAACTCCCCCAGCCTGGGTAACTACTAACATAGCCAGTTTGTTTTCTTTTTTTCCTTGATTTTTTTTATACTACATGGTTTCCCATTTGCTGGCTTGTGAGTTATAACCATTTTATATTTTTCAAGTGGTTTTCTTTAGAATCTGAATACACATACCTAAGAAAAAAACTCACATTTATCCCTAAATCTACTCTTTGCCTACTAATCCAAGGAACTTAGAACTTCAGTCACCCCCTTCTTGTGTACGTTTAGTCTAATATTTTCATTTCATCCTGATTCCCTCATGCAAACATTAATTTATTATTGGTGTTTTATACAGTATTTAAAATTTCCCACTTTTCTTTGCTCACTGTTCCTTCTTGCATCTCATTCCTTCTGTGATCATTTTTCTTTCTTGAAGTAGAATTCCTTTAGAATTCCTTTAGTGGGAGTCTGCTGATGCTAAACACTGAATTTTGCTATCTAAAACTCTATTTGCCTTCATTCTTGAGTAACAGTTTAGTTGGGTATGCAATTCTAAGTTGACAGGTTTTTCCCAGTTTGTGTTTTTTGTTTTTAAGGAAATGCCTCTGGCTGTGATCGCTGCTACTGAGAGCGATCCAGTTGGTCCAGTTTCCAGTCATCATTTTAAAAAAAAATAAGTGTTTTTTAAATTGAAGTATAGTTGGTTTATCATGTTGTGTTAATTTCTTTGGGAGGTGGTGTAGTTAGGTTTTTTCTTTTTTTTAAGGGAGGTACTGGGGATTGAACCCAGGACCTCATGTGTGCTGAGCATGCACTCTACCACTGAGCTGTACCCTCCCCTCTGTCATTCTTTTATAAGTAACCTGTTTTTAATTTGGCTAGTCTTAAGATCTTTGTCTTTGTCTTCTCAGTTTAACCAAAACATGTCTGTATGGTTTATCTTTGTATTTTTGCTTGCAATTTGTTGTGGCTTTTAAATCTTTAGAATCATGCTTTCATCGATTCCAGAAGGCCATTATTTCAAAATCCAAGATATGTTGGCATTCTAAGCGTTCAAAGGGAAATAAATAATGAAAGCCGTTTGGGGAAGAGGTAGGCTGTCTCAGAAGGCTTTCCTGACTGCCTCTGCTGTGCGTGAGTTGTTAGGGTGCCATTTACAGGGGAAGCAGCACTGAGGGGGCTGGAGGTAGCCGCTTGTATTCCCAGGGATAAGTTAATGCTAGAAGAACAAACGTCATAGCTCCACAGATGTTTTGCTCTGCAGCCAAAGATAAAAGGCCCTCTTCCTCTAACGATACACACTGGACAGATCAGGCCCCATGTCCCCTCGCCTTCCTGAGGCACCCTGCTCTTCCCAGGTCATAGCACAGCACGGGGAATTGTCATGACCTTTGTTCCTTCTGTAAATTGAAGTGTGAGTTGGCCTGCGAGCACCGCTGGGACAGGCACTGTGGCAGGCGTGCTTAGGCTGTATCTCCAGCACCCAGCACAGCAGCTGGTCTGTAGAGAATGGGTAACTTGAAGGTAGATGCATTGAATGTCTGAAAAGTGGTTTTCCAAAGTTTGGGGATTTTGCTCACCAGTAAGTTAAAAAAAAACTAACGTTGACTTTATGGAATTTAAAAACATCTGCCACAAACATCTTATAAAATAAGATGTATTTAACACTGGAAAACTGGAAGCATATGCTAGGATAATGTTTCCTTTTGTGAAAAACTCCCTACTTTAAAAAAATCTCATTTCCTGTCTGATTGGTAAAAATCTCACCACTGACTTGCTCCTGGTCACAGAGGGCCACTGCCACCACTGGTGCAGGAGAGAAACCAAGCACGCGGTCGGGGCGTGGCGGCTCAGGGAGCTGTCCTCTGAGACTCTGCTTGTCCCCAGCCCTTGCGCGCCCGGAGCTCCGGGAGAACGCGGCAAGTGTGGATTCCGTGCTGTTTCCCAGGTGTGTTTAGACACAGAACACAGTGGACTCGAGAGACTGGTATAATTCCTCCTGTTGCACCGTGCCAAAGGCTGGGAAAGAGTCCCCTTTCTTGGCGGAGGTTTGCCCAAGGCGACGAGGCTCCAACAACTGGCCGAGTGCGAGCGTACGATCTGGAACCCAGACCCCTGCAATCCGGGCTCGGTGCGGCCAGCCTGGAGTCGGACACGGGGATGAATTCGAACAGAGGTGGACCCAGTTGTCCCACCCACACTGTCCAAATCCTGCGGTGCGGGCAGAGCTGGGAGGGGGGCTCTGGGGAGCCGCAGGAGGGGCGAGGCCCGGCCTGT